AATTAATTAAATTAATAAATAATGGACTTGAGAATAGATTAATAATATTTTGTAAAAATTGGTACAAGATCTATACACATTAAGGTTTAAAATGAGAATGAAAGGTCAAGACAAAAGAGAAAATTCTTTATAAAAAGATACGTTATGAAATATGGAAGCAACATTTATACATAAACAATGTCATTATATAGCGGGTCTAATAAATCAGTATCATTTTGTACATTTAAATCATTTCTTTAGGGGAGAGTGGGGTAATGACGAATGCGGGGTAATGGCGAACACAGCAATCAATGTATTAGAGAAAGAATACAAGTTTTATTTCTTCATTTACCGACAGTTTAGTTGTCACGCAGTGCTAGACAGATAGTGGCAAAATAAAATTGCGCACAGAGTTCAAGGTAAATATAATTGAACTTTTCGTCCTTTTTCAAGTAATTTTTTTGCTAAATTAAACTGCACAGTTGCTGTTGTGTAAATGATACAAATGAGTTATGCTCAAGATAAAATAAGCTCAAATCAAACAATATTCTATGATCAATGTTTTATCTCTATAGCATGAGTCTAACCTTTAAAAAAATTATATTTTGTTATTTTTACGACGTGGGGTAACGAGTCAGATGGGACAAATCCCGAACGATCGCCATTATATCCTTTCCATTTTCACACAAATGTCTGTTGTGTAAATGACTCAGTAAAGATCACACGATCTCGATCTTGCGCAAATTGTAAATAAAAATTTAGTTAAATTTTATTTGTCAGAAGGTAAAAGGAACGTGCTTTCAACTGAGTAATAACATCATAAAAAAATCATAAAAAATTTTTGAAAAGAGTAACCAAATAAAAAAGACAGATAAAATACCAAAGAATAATAACCAAATAAAAAAGACAGATGAAGCACCAAAGAAGAAAAAGAAAGAAAAGAAAGAAAATGTATAGAAAATGACTTTTGTGATAAATAGCTGTGATTAGTACTCTGTTCGTGATTACTTCATGGTAATCGGGAAATCACGAATGGCAAGAGTTTTATTCTGTTATTAAAAATTTATTTTATGTCCAAAAAATCTAATAAAAAATGACGATAGACGATAAATAAATAAATAGTTGGTATATAATTATAAGCAATTAAAAAACTTATTTCTTGGCTTATGTTTTATTTTATTTTCTGCTTAGGTGTTTGTCATTACCCCACTTTTTCCTATTTTTTTATATAAATTGCTTTTGAAATAAGTCGTTTATTAAATACTTTTTTTTCATCTAATATTCGAACCTCATTCCAATTAAAATTATAGTTAAATTCTAATCTGTTTTGTAATACCTGAGTTCTGATTCATATTTCTATTAATATGGTTAATAGTGTTCCTTGGTTCTTGTTTTTAATAGGCGTTTAGTCTGAACTACGCATGATGGACTGCAATTTTTACAATTTATTTTGTAAATTATGTTGGAACGTAGCAGTGACGGTAACTTGTTTTTTTGTATCTTTATAAAGGAGCTTAATTTGTTTATGCCAACGTAAACTAGACGTATTACCTGATTATTCTTAAAAAATCTTATAAATTTTTCGGCAATTATGGGAACATGGAATCATAAAGAATGTGGGATTGTTTGTTATTTTTCTTCTCACTTGTTTTATTTTTATTGAAGTTAGAATTTCACTACCCTGATGAAAATTTTTCTCAGAATTTTTCATATAATTTTTCAGAATTTCTATATAATTTTTTAGAATTTCTGATGAAATGTTATAAAATCTAAAAAATTTTTAAATATTTTTTAAAAATTATGGGAAATTTCAGAATTCACGTATGAAAAATTCTGAGAAAAGACTTCTGAGTAAACTCTGAATTTTTCTGAGTATTTCTGAAAAATGTTCCAATTCATATAAAAATTATGAGAAAAATTTTCGTCCGCGAAATAAGAAAAACTTTGTTTCAATCTTGTGTCATAAATTAAAATGGATTCACGACCTAAAATTTTTTTCGATTGGAAAGAATAAGACTCATTTTCTTTCAATCTCGTATTATGGGCAAAAATGAATTTGAAGCTCTTAGACCTGCATTGGATTGAAAGAATAAGAATTACATCATTTCAATCCTATGTCATTAGAACGAATTACATGGCTTATTTTTTCCGCAAAATTTTTTTTCGATTGGAAGGAATAGGAATCCTATGTCATGGATTGAAATGGATTCAAAAAATCAAGAATTTTGATTTAGCAATGACTAAACGAATATATTTCAATCTATTTCAATCCTTTTCTGGAAACTGGGATTTTTTTCTTAGAAAATATTAAATCAATTTTTCTAAATTAAAAAAAATTTTTTTAAACATGAATGAACTATGATTTGATGTTTTGATTTGTAAAAAAAGTTTTATCAAAAGATATAAGTAAGGTAAATATCCTGTTTAAGGGAATCCTCTCCAATGACCTTCACCTTGACATATATTGTCACATGTATTGACCTTGAATAACCAACAGATTTTAGCCATCGCTTGTTAAAAAGTTATTAAGAAGAAAAATTTGAAAAATGATGTTTTTTTACTATATATAACAAAAATTTTCTGCTTTAAAATATATTTTACAACTGTTCACGCGA